ACTAAATTTTTAGTTAATCAAATGAGATCAACATATTGAATAGCACGATAAATGAATGTCCATATTCGTACTACATTATATATGTATAAATACAAGCGAAAATTATCTATTTGCATTTATGTGACGACCATTACGTATGTGAAATTTAATAAATTTTATTCTAATACAAAAATAATATTATAGCTACAGGCTAATCGTTCATTCAGCATAATTGTACAATGTATACATAGGTCGTCGAATCGCATTTTTGATAAAATACGTTAAAATTTAGGCTCATTGCCTAAAAAGGTGCAAACTAATGTATGAATTGTTATATCTAACTTTTTAAGTTAAAAAGTACACTAAATGTGCGCATGTACTATGAGCATTCTATATGCTTAATAAAGATACCGTCTAGGTAAAAAGTTCACATGTCGTGAATGTTTTAGTATTTTATTGGAGGAATTAAAAAATAACCATTCAATTTGAAAGTTGTACAAAAATACCTGAAATTTCTTTTTCAACCTCTTTCAGCCCGTTTACCAATTGATCATTATTCGGATTTAACTTTAACCCATCTTGATAAGTTGTAACAGCTTCTTCATATCGTTTTAAAAATGTTAAAGCAGCACCAACACGAGAATAACCCTATAGCGAAAAAATAAGCTATATTAACTCCCATAGTGTAAAGGATTTACTAATATCAACGCACTAAAAACCTTCAATTGTTAACGAATCGTTCCAATGAGGATAGTCAGTATGACGTAGGTAGTTAATTAGTATTACAATAATTACTCCTTACCTTGGGCCAATCAGGTTTAAGTTGTACCGTTTTGTTGGCATCATCAAGAGCCTTCTCATACTGGCCTAAACTGGCATAGGCTGCAGATCGATTACTATAGAAGATGTGATTATTAGGATTTAATTGGATTGCTTCAGTATAGCACTTGATGGCTTCTTGAAAGTTCTTCTCTTGAAGTGCGAGGTTGCCTTTACTTTTCCACTCATTTGCCTTCATTAAAACAGAGTGAAGTAGAGGTAGAAATATATAAGTATTAGTTCGCGTATAAGCTCTACATACTACACAATCAATTTTGTTGTAGCAAAGCCTCGATACGTTTACTGCTGGAATAAAGAAGTGACACACATGTACAGCAGCAGGCCGATATCAGTGCTATGTCATATTTTCATTATACTGCGATATACGAATAAACGTTTATGTAACGTCACTTTAAAAGTAGATGGTAAGCCTAAATACACTCGCATTTATAGTCATATCCATGATATCGTGAGGATTGATTAGGCTTGGGTATAATTTTTTGAAAATGTGATCAACTCAATACAAGTTAATGAAATTTTACTGATAATATGGATTGATTAGAATAAGAAAGGTATTGAAAATCTGTTAATTTAGCATGATGCAAATTAATTAGTTTGATACAACTAATATCTCCATTTGTCATAGGTTAGTTTTTGTAGATAGCTTGAAATTTTAATTTAGTAGAATTTTAAAATTCTCTGGACGTTACAGTACGAATGAGTTACAATATTGTAAGCAGATTGATTGAGACTGTTGCAATTTATAACCGTGTAGCAGTCTTGTACAGCAATTCATTGATTATTACAGTACTGCAAACTATAACCGTACGTTGCTCTATAGCTCAATAATCCGATAGGTCCGCAGAGCGGTAACTATCTGCACTATGCACCGTAGAGGATGCAAAACATTAGAAACATTAGCATACAGAATAAGTGTTTTTGTCGGCTTTCAATTGAATAGGAATACATCTCAATTGCATTATGTATGTAATTTACTATTATGCAATTTGCAAATTCTGCCGTACTCGCATAGTGGTAATATATCGATTTTGTGCTGTCAAGCGATACATGTCTCCATAGCTACTGGAAATACGATTCAAGAATCTACAGGATATGACTCATGTAGCGATTTACTGCTATTACATTTGTAGTAGACTGAGAGCAATTTCTATCTATGATCATTCATGATATCATACTACTTATATAATTAATTGATATACAATACACTATTGAATAGGATATTTTATTGCAAATGGAAATACAGTACTGCAGCTTGTACTCTATTCTGTCAGTACCTATTGTACAGCATCGCCAATTTTAGAGCCACCCATTGCAGTATAGCTATAGATGAACTACTCTAGCTATTTTAATGCCATGACTGGAGGTTGTAGAGTAGTGATATAGGAACTACTAGGATGAAATGTATTTCAAAGTTCTTCTTTGGTAGGGCTAGAGATTTAGCATGTCCCAAATTCTACATGTTTCTACCCCAATATGACAACACGAAACAGCACCAACATAACCAACATTACCTCAATATACGATATTAATTAATTCATCAACAAGACCAGTGTGCTCAATGTAACGTCGATGAGTTTGTGCTCATTTTGACTGGTTATTGCATCAGAAAAATGGAGAATGCATGGATATATGCAGCATTTGAACTGACATGCTATTTACTTGTAACCAAGTAAAGAAAGACTAGAAAAATTATACGAGTAAAACTATGGCAATAGAATATTTCATAGATCCCAAAAAGAGGAAAGTTGGGGGCCACTGAAGCTATTCACTGCTGTCGATCATTGAGCTGGGTCGAAAAAGCTCATTTCAACGCATGGACATAGAATGAGATTATTATTGCATCCTACTCGGGACTTTGCTACACAGTTAAGAGGAATTCTTATTCATTTCACTATTGGCAAGTTCATGGATGATTCAGTTGAATTTTAATAGAAATAAATGCCTCCAAACTGGAGAGCAGGACAAGACTTCAAGAACTTACCTGATCTGCAGCCATGACGAGACTTCTAGAAGTTTCTGAGATAGCAAAGGCTTGCAATGAAAGATTACCATGAGGATACTACAGTACACGATACCATACAGTACTGTGCACTGTATCCTGTTCACACACAGGTACAGTACTGTACAGTACACTACACTACACTAGCAGGAATCAAAGGCAGAGAGATCTGTATGATACTGGACTGTATCATCAGGAAGCTAAGCAACAACGTATCGTCGTAACTGCATTGTGCAAGCACACTAGTACGTACTGTACACTGTACGGTATCGTACGGTACTGTACTGGACAGTGTTGACGGTACCGTTACTCGTTACCAGTAGTCCTCCTTGGTCCATCGTCACGTCGTCACATACGTCCGTAACATTACCACTGGTTTGTTTCACATTCATACTCTACAACTATTTTATCATCATCATCATATTCTACAGTTTATCCTCCTACTGTCGATAGAAACTTTACATAGAATTATTAGCAAATTATTACTTTAATGATTCACCCCGATTTTGCTGTCGCAATGAATCCTACTGTACATACTTTAGCACCGGAACCGGTGTTTCTATGCTGTTTATGGCCCAATTTTGCTCTCGAAATTAATCCTACTGTACTGTACTGTACAGTACTTACTTTAGCACCGGAACCGGTGTTTCTATGCTGTTTATAGCCCGATTTTGCTCTCCAAATTAATCCTACTGTACTGTACATACTTTAACACCGGAATCGGTGTTTCTATGCTGTTTATGGAGTGCATTACAGAATGATTGTAACCAACAATGATCAATTAGTTAGTCATACTGGACAGTGTTTTACAACTTCCTTCTTATTCAATCAGGTGCATAAAACCGCTAGTATACAGTATACTGTACTGTACATTGTACAATCTACATGGTATCACGTCAGGTTTAGAATCTCTTCTCTGTGTAGCGGTATACAGTATCTCTCTCTTTCTACTTCCTACTCGACTGACTTTGGGCAATCAAGTTCTCTTTTCTAAAATAGCTCTTTCTTTCTCGTCTACAGTTTAAAACTAGAAAGTCATATTATCCCACAGTACTGCACTGTACTGTACAAGTATCATGGTTACCAGCTATCTTTTGGATAAAGTGTTCAATCTTAGACCAAACATTTCTTGTTTTCTCCTTCTACTCTACAGTAGAGTATTGACTGTAAACTGTAGATGGACTACTGTACACTCAGTGTACAGTACAGTACTAGAAATTATCACTGTTGTAATTTCGAGTAGTCCATGACTGCTCAAAGTGCTCATTAGACCTAACCACTTTTGAAACTTATAAATTCGAAAGTGACTAAGTGTAATGCTCATTTTGATACTGCACGTTAGATACTTTTTGTCAGTGACTTTTTTCTCTTTTTGAAATTTATAAATTCGAAAGTGACTAAGTGCAATACTCATTTTGATACTGCCGTTAGATACTTTTTGTCAGTGACTTTTTTCTCTTTTTGAAATTTATAAATTCGAAAGTGACTAAGTGTAATACTCATTTTGATACTGCACGTTCGATACTTTTTGTCAAGGACTTCTTTCTCTTTGAAATTTATAAATTCGAAAGTGACTAAGTGTAATAGTCATTTTGATATTGCACTTTAGATAGTTTTTGTCAGTGACTTCTTTCTCTTCAGGCCCAGTCAGGGGTTTCTTTGAGGTAAAACTGACTGTAGACCGACAGTGTACAGTACTGTAGAGACCCTTGGCGTACAGTACTGTCCAGTGTCCATTACAGTCATGACGGTATACACCGTATACTATACAGAGCAGACCATACCCCCCATAACGGAACGATCCCTCAACTGGATATCGTACTGTACAGTATTTCCACGTCATCATTACAGTACCAACTACTGCAACTACAGTATAGCAACTGTGGAATGAATTTTCATTGTTAGCTGTAATGAAGCGAATTAATAAATTATTGCAGCAAAAATAATTAATTAAACCATTATCAACGACCAAAGCTTTTCTTTCTATCCTGAGAAGACCATTTTATTGTCGTCCTGTCAAATCTCTGCCATAAAAATGAGGATGAATAAAATCGTCAAACCAAACAATCCCTCTAAAAATAGTGTTGTACTGGCAATACTCGTTCTCGCCATCGCCATTGCTTGCATACAATGCCAAGATGATGCTGTATTACCTGTTTCAAAGGCTAGCAATCGACTTGCTATGGAGCTCTACCGCGAGATAGGTCATGAAGATCAAAACAGTATCTTTTCTTCTTATAGTTTGATCGTAGCCATGTCGATGGTTTTAGCTGGATGCAGAGGAAATACTGCAAAACAAGTGGTGCAGGCGCTACATTTCGATCACTTGGAGGTATTAGATATTCATACGTCCATGAGGCTTTTATCACATCAAGTGCAACAACACGCTAACAACGTTACGTGTCAGTTCAATGATGCCAATTGTATCTTTACCCAAAAAGGATTCCCAATCTTGCCGTTCTATCTTAAACTTGTGCGTGATTTCTATCACTCCGATGTGAAAGAGGTCGACTTTAGTGATAGCCAGTCTACTACTAATCTAATTAACCAATGGATTGACAAAATGACAAATCATAAAATTAGCCAATTATTCGATCCTGCTGATATTACCCCGATGACAAAATTAGTTTTAGCGAATGCCATTTATTTCAAAGGAAAATGGAAGCTACCCTTCGATAAATTAAAGGTGACAGAGAAACCATTTCATTATACTTCTAATGAAGATGTTATTGTTAAAATGATGTCACGAAAAATGAAAGTAAATTATATGCAGGACCATAGCAGTGGCATACAAATGATTGAGTTGCCGTACGAATGTAGCAAAACTTCCATGATTATTGTCCTGCCTCAATCGGTCTCTATGTTCTCTGATCTTAAGCAGATACTACTTATGGAGGGAAAGTTAGACCAGTGGATAAATTCGATGAGAAAGATGGAGGTTAACGTTCAAATACCGAAATTTTCTATCAAACAAAGGATGAATCTAAATGGTGTACTTAAAAAGCTGGGCATGACTGATTTATTTGATAGTTCTCGTGCAGATCTTACTGGAATATCCCAAGCGGAAAATTTATTTGTTGGAAAGGTCATTCAAGAAGCACGTTTGGATGTCAATGAAGAAGGAAGTGAAGCTGCTGCGGCTACTGGAGTAATTGTTCTAGCAAAAATGATGCTGGTAACACCTGAATTTATAGCTGATCGGCCATTTATCTATTTAATCAGAGACGTAGAAAGCAATACAATCCTATTTATGGGACATGTTAGAAAACCGTAGTACGGTCATGAACGTAAGCTCGTACTGTGGTGGAATCTTTGCTGCACCACTAAATTTTTAAAATAGTTTGAACTATAATATACTCGAAATAAACTAAACTATACATTATAAGTACAAATATGAGACAGAAATATAGCATACAGCACCGTCTACTCTAACTTGTTCTAATTATTCTATGAATGATATTGTAATAATTTCTTAAGCCAATTTAATGATCTCTAATTTATTGCATTACAATGATATACGTGTATATACGTATCTATCAGCTATAAAGATGTAATAATCTTGAGAGAGAAAAAAATAGACTCCTACGCTACGTCATGTTGCTCTTGCTCATCAGAGACATTATCCATATATAAATACTTGCAGATTGCAGTACATACTGTACTGTAAAATTTTAAATTGCTTGTTGTATTCACCATGTGAAAAGACTTTCACATACTGTATGCATACTTTATTACAAATTAAAAGCATTTCTGTTGGCATTACAGTATGCCATTAATATTATTATTATATCGATCGATAGTTAACCGTTGTACGAGTATACTCGAGCTAATCAATGATAATGTGGCTAATTGCAGTATAAGCTGGATAAGACAATGTATGACCAGTATGCTATTTAATGAAGTATCATAGTCTTTATTATAAAATATTATTAACAAAGTACTTTTACAGTTTATTATTTGCTTATAGTTCAATTAATATATCTGTTTAAATAGCACTTTTAAGTGACGCATCTGTTTGTTACGAATGATCTTCAAGATGTAAAAGCGCTATCAATAGAAGGATTCACGATACTACGGAAACTGCGGCAAATTCACTACTGGTTGTTCTCTGTGAATAATATCATTGTCATTAGTAATCTTGAATTTTTGATCATTTGCACATTCGACAGTTCCAATAAAATGATTAGGATTGGCAAGCTATTCTATGTACACTAAATTACTAGCTACTCTGTAGCTGTTATTGACTGGAAATATTTCTAAGTTAACAACTTGAATTACATGTCAATGGTTAAGTACATACTAATGTCATGAGTACCAGGGCATGGACTACTAGAAATTTTTACCTTCTAGTAGTAGTTCATAGTCTCCTCTAAATACGTACTACTCGCTTTTACCATCTGATAAAACTCATTCCGGCAAGACACATAAATTATGACGCTCCCTTAGCAATTCATTACTCCGGATAACATTTCCTACTTACAAGGAGATATTGTATTCAGAATTGTTTAAGAATACCTACTTTGCAGCACGCTACAGTGAACATCCCTACGGCTGCAACTTGCTTGATATACTGTATTATGAGGCATGCTAAGTTCATCTTTCAATCGACCTGCGTACCCAAGCTTATTAAAAAGACTTCAATCGATCAGTGGGTATAGAGATCCTTAGTCATGATATGTATGATTTGACTTCAGCACAAGTCATCGATTACAATTATTTCATACATTATCCTTGACTTATTTATTATCCATACTAACTATCAGCCGACTCAGTTTCAAGTTTGTTACGTACGGGTATCTAAGAATCTGTAATTACTTGTCTTAGCTGGATTAGATTATATCGATGACATGCTGCTCTTTAAAAAAGACAATCTGAAGATTAGTTTAAACAAAGATTTTTATTTGTAATCTTTTAGTAGGATTCCATCCAAGAATTGAATGCGCTTAAGCGTCTGCGATGGTAACTTCAACCTCTACGCCAGGCTCGATACCAATGGAAGTCTAGATAGTGTACTACTACGCATGTTCTATGCTAGGCAATCGATAATATAGCAACTGAAACATGAAACATGACCTAGTGTACTACGCATGCTCTATGCTAGACAATCGATAATACAGCAACTGAAACATGAAACATGACCTAGTGTACTACGCATGCTCTATGCTAGACAATCGATAATATAGCAACTGAAACATGCAACATGACCTAGTGTACTACTACGCATGTTCCATGCCAGACAATCGATAATATAGCAACTGAAACATGACTGAGCCCAAGATGGTCCAGTAGGACGGTGCACAGCGTAGGAGATGTCATATGACACATTCACGTCACTGAATCAATGGCCAATAAAAATGCAGTTGACTTCTGGCTTTTAAAGTTGGAGGCTGCCTATCAGCCCCATATGCCTTTGCGCGTATCATATAATACGAGTCGTAAAAAATAATTCAAGATGGCCGACCTTTCGGTAGGAATAGATGGAGTATACTGCGATATGCCACCTCTAGTCATGACAACTCCTGACGTCCAGTTAGAAACAACTGTAGAAACTCAACCGATGATTCCTTTGCAGACTTTACCTACTGTAGCAGCACAACAAGAAGTGGTTACGGAGAATAGTTGTAGTCAAAATAACAACGACGATGATACTATAGGAGAAATTGATCCTGCTGCTGTGCCGCCACCACAACCTAGCAAAAGAAAGCGAAGAACAGGTTGGATTCATTCGCTTTAATGAATTAGGATAATCTTGAATTTCTTTCAAGACATCATTATTGAATAGCTTAACTTATGAAGGGAAGCGCCACGTATTCAATTTTGGGGACTTTTTCCCATATTTTGCCTTAACATCAAAATTTCAATGGATTTTTTTAGCACGGGAAACCCACGAGCTAAGTTTTAATACGGATGTAAACTCTCGTAAGTGGGAACAAAAGCCTGTTAAAATCAAAACTTTAGAAGGAGAATTTTCCGTGACTATGTGGGCGTCGGGTAGGTATTACAACTCGATCGCCCACAGCTTATATTGATTTCTGTGATAGATACACCATAGTATAGGTGATTGTACAAGATTCCATGTTTTGTCGTCGTCCATTCGGCTCATTCCTCTCTCGTATTTTGGTGATATTGAAATTTAAAACTAAAAGATTAATTGTGCTGTTGATAATATTATTTCTGATGCCAGCAGTTGCTACTGTAGTAAATAGTGATACTATGTTAGTGGACGATTTATCGAAAAATTGTACTCTTTGTGTTATAGGATGCTGATTGCAAGAGCTTAGCTTTCAAATCTCATTCTTGTTTCTTTATAGAGAGTAGTAGGCGAAGCCTTTTATACCTGATTACATCAATTTTAGACGTTTTAATCTCAGTCTGTAGTTGATCGCTATATACCTACTATCATAATTATTGTAGTCTTAACACATGCTATGCTAGTTTTGATGATGAGTGTAGTGGTAGTATTTCTATCCTGTAAAGTGACTATTTTTAATTTCTGGTTTACTTTCAATCTTATATTTTTACTAATGGCAGTAAATAAGTATACAGTATTTAGTGTACTGTACAATATTATACTGGGCTTAAATTATGTCTATCATTCCATAGTTTTTAATGTCGTATCAATTATTGTAATTATTAGTAATCGGCTATAGATATATTAGTTGCTTACGCTTATAATCGCACATGTTGACTGTACTCTTATATCTATGTCTTTTGGAATGTAATTAATGTGTATGATTTTTAATTACTGCAGAAGAGAAAAAGCAACTATCTAGTAACCCTGAACCACAGGTTGATTTTTCGGATTATATAAGGAGCAAAAAGGTTCATAGTAGTAATGACAACTGTGGTGGTGCAATTGATTGTAAGGAATCACCTGAAAATACAAAGTAAGTTGACTGAAGTAAATTTGAGTAATAGTTATTAGGACAGTTTGGAATTCTTTCAAGCTTGCTGACATTTCCATTTCTTTCCTATTACATAGTTGTACCGAACATTCGACGTATACTATACAGTAGCATGGTATTGCTTATTATTACAGTTGTCCACTAGCACATAGTACAAGCTTCATGAATTACAATGTAATGTAACAAGAATGTCTTATGGTTAATTAACTCTTTACAGTACTACATATTTTAGTGTCTTCACTGTACTGCATGATAGCAATAAATCTGCTCCATATTAACATACCTACCTGATGTACTGTATAGTATTTGCAGTATTCAACTTTTTCGCTCTATTGCGCTTCTTAAGTGCTCATTAATCCTAAGGAAGTGATTTAGATAATCTACTTACTAAACTGTACGCAAACATAAATCATGTTATCATTACAACTACACCTAGCAAAAGTTCAGTTCGGAACTAAGCACTACTTCATAACTTAGAAAGCTACAACTTCACAGCGCTAAAATATTCTGTACATCGTCTTCAATTTGCATTGTAGTGTGTACTTTTACCTCGTACTTTTAGTAATCTTCTGTCTATTTACTAGAGTATCAAACATCTACGCATTTCTATTTCAGCATTAAACAGTACAGTGTCGATTGAAACGAAATCACTAGTATTATTTATCTAAATTTTAAAATTCGTAAATCTGTAATGAATTTGCGATAGATAAAATATATAAAAGCAGAAATTATCAATGACTGTTATCAATACTCGCTCAAAAATTATTTATGCCTATGCTTTTAATAATATAATTGACAAGGAATACTAAAAGATAGCATACCAAAAGTACGAAGTAAAGAGGTTCAATACTTTGCTTAATTTAAACTAACCAGTGCATTTAAAGTCAGAGCGGATTGCTTGTGAATCTCACTTTATTAGTTATGATGACCTGGTATCTGCAACCTTGAGCAAAATCAATACATAATGCATAGCATATAGTCTGAAATTAAGACGTAACTGCATAATACTATTAGAATCTTCCACTACTTTATACAGTAACTTGCATTTCTTAATACTATGCACTGTACGAATGTATAAGTACTATACCATTGTTATTTTGGCTGTACGCTTTATACTCGTACCCTGCCATAATTAAGCCACCCAACATTTTTATGCTTTATATATAGAGAGTATGGTACAGAGAAATCAGTTATGCAGTATGATAATCATGACTATCTATTCTCATTGACGTGTAAATCTAGATGATCAATTAATATATGGTTCTTTTTCAGGGATGAACTTTCAACAACGTTCAGAAAGTAAGTTTTATACAAACTAGGATCAGTCATTACGTTACAATCAGAACTTAACTTTTACAACTTTATGCATTGGATTTTGTATGGATATAAATCTCAGTAGAATGGGACTAAATTAAATTGATACTTTTTAGAATGAAGTCGCGCAAAAAAGATGAAGACTTACCAAAAACGATACCATGTCCACATAAGGTATGATAACTGCTTAAAGCCTGCATGATTGTACCTTGCTTGAAAACAAAAACAATCCCGCTGACGATCATGTAGTACAGCAACACTGTTAAATTTAATTCTTAAAATACGCCCTCTGGCTCGGCTAAGAATTTATTGTATGATCGAATTTGCGAAAAATTTTTTATAAAGACATAATTTTTAATCTATCATCGTTGCTACTAGGGTTGTAATAAAATGTTTAAAGATAATGCATCAATGAGAAAACATTTACACACACACGGTCCACGAGTTCACGTTTGCGCCGAATGTGGAAAGGTAGGGCAATAACACATAATAATAAATCGGTGAATTCTATGCATGTCTGTTCCTTTATTACTATTTTAGTATTCTGTTTTAATCCTACTTGGCGATCAATAGTAATCCCTTGTGTCAGATACATATTAACTGTAATGCGATGTATTAGTTACAAGATAGTTGTAGAGTTTTTAAAAATTAGTTAGCGTAGCTATTTTTTCTTTAATCAGAAATGAATTTTAATTAGATAATGTTAAATGATATTCTTTGAAGGAGCGACTTACACAGTGAAGCAATATTTTACCTGCCTTTAGTATTTATATTTTAATTGTCCGCCGCATAACATATTCTTTCACCGTCAATGCTACATTACAGGCTTTTGTTGAAAGTTCCAAACTAAAACGTCATCAACTAGTCCACACGGGCGAGAAACCATTCGTGGTAATTATCAAAATACAAGGAATAAGTGTAATTACATGTCTACACGTCTTATTATAAGCTAACTTAAAATTTTTTTCAAACAGTGTACCTTTGAGGGCTGTGGTAAACGATTTTCGTTAGATTTCAATCTTCGTACTCATATTAGAATTCACACAGGAGATCGTCCTTACGTTTGTCCTTTTGATGGTTGTAATAAGAGATTCGCCCAGTCTACAAATCTTAAATCTCATATAATGACTCATGCGAAAAATGCTAATAAATCGAAAGGGGAATAAATTATTGGAAAAGATTTACTATGCCTGAAATTGGTAAAAGTGATTAATGTTTATACTTGATTTCACGCCTGTTCAGTACATGTTTCTCATTTACTGTATTCTAATCAACTCAGGATTTTTTTGTGATAACTGTAAGCGATCTCGCTGGCATTATAGGCATGTTTAATTTCTGATAATAACATTCTTAAAAAAAGCTAAAAATTGTCATAAAGACGACACTTAGATATTTCTTTAAAGGCTCTCAGAGTATTTTTTCTAAATTATTACCCGAAGAGATGACTGCCAAGTTGAACAAATCTCTAACCAATAGTTTTTTCTTATTGCTTCTATCGGTATAACCATCTTGAAAAACTTACTTAAGATACCTTGTATCGAGGTCATTATAACAGAGATCTCTCACCGTAATTCGATTTATCTCCTAGATTTACATGATATGAAAGATTAATATTCTGTTTACAATGCTTTTTCGTCTAAAGATGAGCATATTGCGGTATTTGATGCTTAATTACTTTTGAGTACAGGCCTCATACTACTGAGAGCAAAACTACTACACTGATTATATCACGAAATTTATAGATATATCCTGTACAGGTTGTTGCATTTAAGTACATTGAATAGCTTTTTATGATTGATACAAAGGCATTCGTTTTATCTAGCGATTGTCTTAATGTAAATCAAGATTTAGTGTACAGAAATTGTTATAATAATGTAATACCCATCCGTTGTCTCCCTTATGAATGTAACATGAATAACAGAGTACTGTAATACCATTGAAATGAACTGTACTGTATAACTTTTCTTATTGTTTGACATCGTGATAATATATAAAATGAAAATTTCTTTTTGCCCTGTACGAATGTTTCAAATTAATAATTATTACTGCTTGCCCTGTACGTATTCTTAGAGATTGTACATTGTCGTTAATTTTTAAATTTTATGTTCTAATCTTGCATGACTGGTTAATTGCGATGGAAGTTTTTACTGAATTATTGCTACATTACAGCAGACGATATATGCGTACATGACACACGTATTGCAAATAGGAACAGCTGGTGCGTGTGCTATTTTATGAATCATGATATATAGTAAAGTGAGTTTCTAATTAATAAGCATGAGTAGGACTGAATTTGAGTCAGCATAGCAATATGTGTATGATGTATCTATACATATGTAGCAAGTATAGTTAAAATTCTGTATTTTAGTGCATTAATGACTTTTCCATGTTAGATGATGTAGGTTGCTAACTACCGTACAGTGCTGCAAAGTTAGCCAGGATCAATAATTATATAATTGACATGCTATTTAAATACATAATTGTTTTATATTAAGAAATCAAAGTACTTTATCTAGTATGTACAGCAACTTAAAAAAAAAATAATATCATTCGCAATACAGAGTGGCTACGAACTGAGACTAAATAAAAGAAAACAGAACTACAGGAAATTACAAACAAAAGCTGCCCGCTTGGGTTCTAAGTATCGGAACATCCACTTATACAGTTATACTTGTACTGTATAATGCACAGTACGTGTACAAGCAATTAAATAATGTCAAGTATACACTGTTGATTTATTTCCAATTGTCACAAATTCCTGGAGAAAAAGCCCAAAATTACATATCATACAATTTGTTTGCTTCTGATTCATTAATTAATCGATGGAAGGCCTAAGCTGCGAACTAATTTACTGTAATCGTAGCATAGTTGTGGTTATGCGCTGTTTTCGGGATGACGACTGATCTGCTGCATACAACCGCCATCATCTACAAATATACATACGTATACGTATTTCTATATGCATGGTATCGAGGATTCATTACGCCATTGTTTTGCACATTTTAATATGTAAGTTTTATCCCTTTGTAGAACGGATATAAAGTGTTGGTTATATAACAAGTTTGTAGGTGTATTAATCTAAAATCAATGTTTATCTGAAACAATACCACTATATACAGTACCATCTATGATTAATTATCATCCAGATTAGCTGCTTGTTCGGTTTTATATTGACAGCAGAGAGCGGAATTTCGGATTACTGACAGCAACATGTAAAGCTTAAACGGTACCCGATGCATTATGTGCGTTATTTGCAGAAATTATTTAATTAATAAAAGCGCATTTAAATTAAATTAATTAACCGCCATTTCTGGCATATTTAATGAGCTTTCATAGTACTTTTAATACTTTTAATAAATCAACAAAACGTGATTTATCAAGAACGTCTCTCTGCAAAATTCGGTACAGTAAACTGCTGTACCGAATTTTCAATAGAATTTTAACATAGAAATTGATTTTTTTTCCATTTTTTATTATGATATTTCAATTTTAATACACCTAAGCTATCAATTGATAGCAAATATGTGTCATAAAGTTTTCAAATTATAATTTCATCTAATTTCAATCTGTAGGAAAGGCTTGTAGGAGACCCCTTCAGTCCATACAGTACCGTGTACAACAGTAAGTAGATGTACTGACACAGTACCAAACCTTCGACAGGGATAGACACTATACTGTACTGTACTACGGTGGCCCAGAAGGCTCTGATGGGCCACCGTACTATACAGTACAGTACTGTACTGTACAGTGTACAAGTGTACAGTAAGTACTGTAGATCTGTTCATGGTTTGCTTTTAAGATGATTCAGTATAGAGCGATCTGAACAATACATCGAAGTAAGATCATTGGTTCAACTGAACAATAGCAGTTAAAATCATTGGTTCAACTGAACAAAGCAATTTCGAGAAGAATTTACAGTATAATACTGTACTGTACTGTATTGTAAATAAATACTGTACGGTACAGTACCGTACAGTACTGGTAGCAGCGCAGAAAAGAACTCCAATAATAATTTATCAAAATAATCAAATTTGCCTTCTGTTTCTTTGGGTGGAATTCCTCTGTTGCAGTTTTCCAGAGCTACGTGTATAAAATCCTTCCAAACTCGGCTGTCTTTCACTTTTAAGGCTTTACAACTGAAAAAAGATAGTTATCGGTAAGATCTCATAGTTGTACTTTTATGAACGTTGTTAATCAACGTATGGTAACATCAGATATTGCCGTAGCGTTGAAGAGATCCATTTTAATAGCCAACTCATGATCACTGCTAGCACAGTTTTTTTCTCCCATTGCAATATCTACAGTAGTACAGCACTCTGATATTCATAATATTCACCATCTATTTTGAAGTGATTCATTGATAATTGACCAAAATACTTCATTTACAGCTATGGATGCTATTGCATTACCTATGTACGTTCAAGATTCAACGATCTTATATGGAGTACACCTTTTATCTTGTTATGTGTAGCCATTTTATTGCAGTTCTTAGCCTCCGTTATTTTTTACAGAGGAAACTTCTCTTGTATTCCCTTACTAATATTAATCAAGGCATACAAGTAAACCCACATGCAGTAGTTCTACTTGACTCCTCTTGTCAATAACCTATTAGACTGATCCTATAGCACAAGTAGTAACAGTAGTATTTATAAGTCTGAAATAATTTAAATTGATTTTAAGAATTATTATTACAACGTCTCACTATAATCGGATACTTTATCGACTCTATCGGTTGGTATTGACTGTCTGGAACATGCCCAATAACCCACACAGGCAAAGCTTTTGTTTTACCTCCACAGGGCTATGGTACAACGCAGAATGTTTCCATAGATTTTCCCGTTCTGATTAATTATAGTATAATTATACTTCGTAATTGGACTGCCAATAGCTGAAAGATGACTACTGCACATGGAATCCGATTCAGTTCTACTCTACTGTGCTGTGGACAATAATAGTACATTAATACGATATCAATACTGCAGTTATTATTTTGGGGAGGGGGGATAGAGTACTGGAAATGATTGATTTATGCTCTTGGAGATTGATAGCCATTTCTCGAAGTTTTCTACAGTCTACAGCATTTATTATGAGTATCTGTCAATAACGTCTTGGAGGAATGTAGTGTAAATAGTATCATATCTATCTAAATTTTATGACAGTACAAAATCCTAAAGAATGTGTTAACCACCGTTATTGTACGAGCGTATGTCGGATACAATGTTACTACGATGGACTGTTTATTGTATTGTAGTGACAGTAACATATAATTAAATTACTGTATTCACAAGCATGTATCATTAACGCCCTATAATTTAGTTATGTGATCCCTGTACAATAACTGTATAGTTGCTGTCTGCGTATTCTAATTAGAGTACGTACAGACTCATTTCTGGCATTATTGATAACAACAATTGGAGCACTCCAGTATTTCACACTTTCCTTAGAAAACAGTCAAAATCATGCTTGCGGTCACTATTGGACTACGTATTTTGACTGAAGTATGGTCATATAATGTAGATAGCGTGTAGATGTTGTATACTTTAATTTACTGAGCCTAAATGGTGAGAGTGCTGACTAGATCGCTGAAAATGTAGTCAGTACTATACGTATTCTATTGCTTATCGAACTTTAATTAAGGTGACTCTAGAGATCAATCGAGGTTACGATCAATATACTTCAATGTACCTGGATACTTATTACTGTATATGTATAGTCTAGTAAGAAGTAATTATTGTCGATAAACGTTATTAGCTATCGTAAAATATGAATCGAAAATCAATATAGTACCCGATCTAACATAAATACGATAATAAGATAATACTGTACACCTGGCATTAGCCAGTATAATCTTAATCTATTTTATAGGATTAGTGAAGTAAAATGTCGTATCCACCACCAGGAAGCTATCCAGGATATCCCCCATCTAATACTGGTTATCCACCATCTAATACGGGTTATCCACCAGCTGGTAATCCAGCATACCCGCCTGCTCAAAATCCTGGTTATCCACCGGCTGCTCCTGCAGCTTATCCACCAACTCAGACTCCCGGATATCCACCAGCTAATGTACCTGGTTATCCGCCATCTAGCACTCCTGGTTATCCGCCATCAAACACTCCTGGTTATCCGCCATCAAACACTCCTGGTTATCCGCCATCAAACACTCCTGGTTATCCGCCATCGAACACTGCAGGGTATCCACCAGCAAACACTACTGGCTATCCACAATCTGGTTACCCAGCGAATCCGCCAGCTGGTTCACAGCCATATCCATCTAATCCTAGTTATGCTGCAGGCTCTGTAAGTAAAATCGGACTGCTTATATATATAATTATTTGATTGCTATTGGATAGAATTCTTTTGCTACTATGGCTACAGTATAAGTCACTTGGCTACTAAGAGCAATTAAAGATTACTGATATTATTTATAGACCTTCACATACATATAGTAGTACATTTTAAAGACCCTTAACTAACTTTCGTAACTATTGTAGTTTAATAATATAATTAATTTCTACTATGAAATGGACGTATAGTTCATATGAATGCTTCGGAATTCGGAATATTGTAAAGTATAATAGCGGTACCTGCCCTAATATAGAACTATCCTTTGCAGGGTTATCCAGCAACTGGTCAGAGTTACCCAGCTGCAGGTACAGCTTATCCTGGTATGACTCAACCACCAACTTCTACAACATCTTCATACAATTCATATCAAGCAGCTCCACCATCTGGATCTGCAGCTATGCCCGTCCCGTATCCTACAGGGACAGCAGCACCGCCAACGCAGCAACAGTTGTACAGCACTCCAAATATGCCTGCTCAGCAGCCAACAGTCCCACAACCAGCTCAACAAAGTTACGGTGCACCTCCGGTTGCAGCTCCTCAAGCAACGGCTCCGCAGCTAGGTAGCGCAAAATACACCTCAATACTAAATTTTTACGAATTGCTTTAAATTTATATCTATATGATTCTACAATTCTTAAATGTATTTCCCTTCCTTATCATTCTGTCACCTTTACCGGATTTTAAACCTTAAATAAAGGTTCTCCAATCCAAGTATGTCACCAAACTTCTATAACGGTGATACTTTATCGGCTATGTTATGCTAAATGTAAAATATCTACTTAAGGCATCAAACGTGATTCCTCCAACAGCTGCAATGGCCACAATGAATATAAAATCAGTGACAGCTGTAAGTATGATTTCTACACCTGCTATTATTTGACAATGTTTGATAATACTTAAGGAAGAATATAATGGAATTTTGATATCCTACTTCTGATTTAAACAGAAAGGTACTGTTGTACCAGCCAAAACATTTAACCCTGAATCTGATTGTGAAATTTTAAAAAAAGCCATGAAAGGTTTCGGTACGTTTATATGTTTGCCTACTTGACTCCTTTAAATGCTTTAAAAATTGTGTGTAATGTTACATCGCGTGATGTGAACTAGTCGAAGCTAAGGCTTAGTATGACTTAAAAACTGGACACTCCAGCTTTATGTAGATATCATGATCTATAACTTGTAATTGTAACTGCCGCAGGTACCGATGAGAAAGCCATCATTGATATACTAGCCAATCGATCTAATGCTCAGCGCTTGAAAATCTCTTCCATGTATAAAACTATGTTTGGACAGGTGATACCAAACCAACCTTTCATATAGATACCTCATTATTATTAGCAATGCAACTAGTTATTTTCGTATAAAAGTTATATACTAGTATTGGCGACTTAGACAAGCATAGCCATTCATTTACAAGCTATAATCATATAGTACTCTATAAAGTTATTTGGTATGACCGTACATGTAGGATCTTATAGGAAAACTCAAGTCTGAACTATCTGGTAACTTTGAGAAAGCTATCTTAGCACTAATGAATCCCCCAGCTGTACAAGATGCGAAGTGGTTACGTGCAGCAATGAAAGTAATTCAAATTTTTTAAGCTTTTATTTATTATAGTCAATTTATCTTTTAAAATTTTAACGAGAGCACAATTTTTTATTAGGGGTTAGGCACAGACGAAGAGATACTTATTGAAATCTTATGCACTCGTACTAATGCGGTAAATATTACTGTTCATTCAATACTCGTATGTAATTAGATGTTACTGTAATGATCATTTAGGATGCTGTTTAAAGCGTCTCCGACATTTTTTATATAACGAGAGATTCGTAGAAGTATTGATAATTGAATAGATAGAATCCTGACCAATATGTGCTAATGTAGTATCATAGCATATAATATTGATGTAAGGTAATGAAATATCTCACAGAAATGCGGCTTTCAATCTTAAATTTCATAGGAAATACTTGCAATCAAGGAAGCTTACAAGAAAAGTTAGAATTGTGATAAACTATTAGATTCGAAGTTGGTAGTGTATTAATGATTTCTGTTACTTACAGCGTACTTTTATGTTCACCATTTCTATAGACATAAATAGGGATCTTGAAAAGGATTGCGTGAGCGAAACAAGTGGGTACTTTAAGAGGTTGTTGGTCTCAATGTGTCAAGTATGTCAATAAGTTGATATGATAAAAACTACAATACTACTTTAATAAGAACACGGTAGCAGAAATTTGTAGATTTCAGTATTATACTTATTTAATAATAGGCTAATAGATCTGAAGCCACTTCCGTTGACATGGCAAGTGCTAAAAAGGATGCTGCGGATTTGTTTCAGGTAAGCTGTAATTATAAATTTATAGGATATTGTAAAGATTCATAAGATATATAACCAATTTATTAATAAAACTTTGTTAAGGCTGGTGAAAAAAGATGGGGAACTGATGAATCTCGTTTTAATGTAATCTTATCTTCACGAAGTTTTCCGCAGTTGAGAGCAGTCTTTGATGAATATACTAAGGTTATTTATTATTAACATTCTCTATCGTCGAATAAAGTTAGGATTTAAATTAGCATTAAAATGAAATGCTTACGATAAATTACCATATTTTGATCTAAATAGATTTCACAGCGAGATATCTTAAACTCTATAGACCGAGAGATGTCCGGTGATCTAAAACGAGGATTTAAAACTATAGGTATCGTCTCACCCAAAATATAGCTAGTTATACTTTATTATCATTCGTTACAAAGCATATAAAATTGATCTCTGACTATCTCCAGAATCCATAATATATTATCTAATGAAATATTTTACAGTAAAGTGTGCACGTAATGCACCTAAATTCTTTGCCGACCGGCTACATCATGCAATGAAAGGTGTCGGCTCAGATGATGATACATTAATTAGGATCATTATGTCAAGAAGCGAGGTGAGTTTAATTACTTTCCAAGCAGTTGTCATGTATTGTATTAAGGCTTATTCGAAGATGATTTACTCAAGTGTCTTATAGCAAAACTGTGTGTGCCTTTTAGTAAAGCAATTATTCAAAATGGTACATCGTTTGTACATTGAACTAGCCTATTTTTCTTATTATAGATTGACCTTGCTAGTATCAAAGCAGAGTATCGGAATGCTCATCACAAAAGTCTTGGTAAAGCAATTGAAGGGGAAACTAATGGTGATTTTAAACGAATACTCCTAGCAATTGTTAAAATGGACTAACAATATTCTGCATGATAATATTTTTACTTTTAACATGAGCTCCATGCCAAAGTAAGACTGCAGCCACTGAAGTATGAGTTTGGATGAGATTTAAGTCAACTGCTCTCTTGTTTAATTAATTATAGCCAAAACTGCAGACAGACTTTTAGAACGTTTAAAGAAATTTCTGAGCACTTTTAATATTTAGGATATTATTTCTACGGAAGCAATATATAATATTACGGAAACGTTGATCACATTAAAGATTAACTCTATTGTCGATCCTAATGTTATTTCGAGATAGCAATAAATGTACTACAAAATCGGAAAATAAAGTTAAATTCCAGTTTATGCTTGTGTTACTGTTGATCCGCTGTAACTCAATCTACTGTGGATCCCTGTACCAAAATACATTGTTTGAGATTGTGCCTTATCAGTACCTGATTGAATTAAAAAAATAGAAAAAGGAAGGATTACGGACCTGATTGCGATGGGAATAGAGACCAAACCATTAAAAAATACCCTAATTGAGATTACTACACCTCCATGATCACTATAAGTTGTAATCTGCCAGATAAACATTTTAGCTATTCAACTTGTGGAACTGACGAAAACTATAATTGATATAATATAAATATACAGATTTTTCGACTGAGTAAAGCTAATAAAGAAGGCACAGAACAGTATATAAATTACAAATTATGAATTAATCAGCTGAATACAATGATAACAATAACTGACAACTTCCAGACGTCAGTTTCTATATTTTTACCTGCAGACTGCATAGTAGGTCTCAAAGACGTGCTATCTTTAGTTTGAAGGCGCAACCATAGTCTCCATAGGTGTAAAAGAAAGCCTGGTTTTCTTTTGTCCCTATGAGCTAAGTCAAGCTGCGCCTTTAGTGATGTTCTGGTAGTATATTATCATCAATGATTAGCCTACATTAAAACGGTATAACAATTATTAATAAAGTAAATCTGGTAAATATTAATTAAACAATGATGATATAGCATTCGAAAAGAATTAGCTCAAATTAATGATGGAAGAATAATATGATGACTACTTTGGACAATAATTCCTATATGCAATTGTATTGATCATTTTCATGGCCTACTGTATATCATCATGAGTGAGTAGTCTACGTTCTCACTGATGATGATATAGGCCATGAAAATGATCCATATAAATGTATATAGCTTATAGGGGTATAATAATAAGGCACGCCTTAAATCTAGCAAATTGTAAAGGATTACAGTCATGGACTCTAATTCCTATATACGAGCATATTTCTGTTGATCATTTTTCATGTCCTATATTATCATCAATGAATAGCCTACATTAAAACGGTATAACAATTATTAATAAAGCAAATCTGGCAAATCTGGTAAATATTAATTATATCATCATCAATGAGTGGCCTACATTAAAACGGTATAATAATTAATTAATTATAATAATAAGGCAAATCCGGCAAATCTTATAAGGGTTATAGTCATGAAATATAATTCATATATACATTTATGTTGATCATTTTTATGTTCTATATCATCATCAATAGGTAACCGACATTAAAACGGTATAAAATGAGGTAAATCCGACATTAAAACAGTATAAAATGAGGTAAATCCGACATTAAAACAGTATAAAATGAGGCAAATCCGGTAAATTTTAAAAGGGTTACAGTCATGGACTATTACTAGATGTATACCTGGCAGATACTTGTAGAGTAGTGTAGTGTATCATTTAGTCGTTTCTGGTTACAGGTTACAGTATCAGGCCTGGACCATACACTAGAGTACTATACTGTAAGGTATAGTACTGTATATCTAATTGCCTATACAAGGGCCCATATCTAACTGCAACTTCCTCTCCAGCCCATTTTGTATACAGAACGAGTTAAAATTCACATTTGATTCATTCTGCCATTTTCGCATCGATTGGCTTTTAAAGAGAAATAGCTTGAGGATGAGTGAAAAGAGTAAAAGAAATCGAGGCATTTATTTAGTTGATAAGAAGTTAATCCCAAGAATTAGACAGGTACTGTATAAGTAATTGGAAAAAGTAGCAAATTGATGGATTTTGATTGAGATTATTTGCAATCAAATTATGCGCCATGATGGAGAAATGATGTCACGATTTACATGCTTGAACGATTGATCTTATATCATTTTAGCACCTTTTAGCGGTAATTCTAAGCGCAGATGTTATATGTAGCGTATTGATACTCTATTGGACAATGATAATGTTATAGATAGGCTCTACAGAGAACTATTCTGTCAGATGAAATCTAAGATTGTTTGCCCTGTGTTGCACTTGAGTGTTGGTTAGACCCACTACAAAAGTGCCTTATCGGCCTTCAAATTAGCAATTCTATCACCCGATTGCATTGTGTATTTACAACACTACTGTACTTTATTGCCCACTATATTTACTCTTTCCCTTTAGCTTGTCTACAAACGTAATCTCGATATTAAGATCTAAGTTGTTGATAGATGCGTAGTCGGTATACTCACTACTCATCATTTTAGCTTTTCCCCACTAGGCTGCCTGCATGTTTTGATCGACGCACTTTCAATTTATTGAGATCAAGGAAGTTGCTGAACAGGCGCATGCTACAGTATACTGCTCATCTTATTATGGCAGAAATATCAGTTAGATAGAAGTATACCTTTGCTAAAGCAAGATTATGTCCACATGAGATTATAGTGATCCATTTTTTATCCTTTCTAAGTTATTTCAGTAATTTCATGATTTGACTTTTTGCAAATAAGAAGGAAGCGCAAGATTAAAAATATACAGTAGTAGATACTACAGCATATAGCGTACTCTACTACAAATCTCAGTGATTACTTATATGCTCGATTGTTATTTCCATCAATGAAACATAAATTTTTCTCTTTGATGCTATTATTTGATAAAATGAATATTAATTGTACATTAAATGCATAAGATATTCCCGGGAATGTCTTTGCTATAGGAGTATACAGGTGTTCGTGTATTTATGTGTTTTATATGTTAATTTTGGAGTACCAATAATTGAACCCTAATTCTCGATTGAATATAGTATATTGCAGGTAGGCCAGATATTCGAAAATTTGATCCTGAGGAGGTAGCTAACTATTTGCAAGAAAAATTTAGGTAGGCCTTGGATAGATACACATAGCACAAAACTAAGAATAAAGACCGTATAATATGCTGCTCTATTCGAGTGCTTATATGATCACCATCGAACGTACAGTCTAGTGATGATGCATCTTCTATCGCAGTTTTAATAATAAGTGCACCTTATATCAAGAAAATTAGCGCTGCCATTGATATTTACTACAACAAAGTTACATCAGATTTACCTACTTAGCTTCATTATATTTGCTAACTGCAATTTCTGATGCAAATTTCAATTATAATTAATTAATTGATATAAACTATGATATATTAAAGCGTTTATATTGTTATTGTAATAGTGAATATCGTAGAAAGAAGCGCAATAATTTACTCCAATCAATCAAAAAAGGTACAGCAGAAAATGCAGGTGTAAATTATCACAACTGTTGTGGATTTATTTCACTATCTTATTCTTATTTTCTATTGTTGTTACAGTTTGCTTTATAGTACACTAAAATCCAATTTAGAGTGTTATGAATCTAAACTGATTTAATTTTAAATTTAAAAATTGATGTATTAGCATATCAAATAATTCTTAAAACGAGCAACGAAGAGAGTCAATTGCAAAGATTAGAAGATGATCACATAAAACGAAAGTCAAAAATTATGAAAATCGAGTAAGTGGATATACTCTTGTAACAAATAAAATAAAATTTAAATAATCTCTTATTCGTAAAAATATAGGTCTACTCTATGTGGAATAAATTAATCTGCTTGATATAAATTATATCTAGAATTTTGCTTTATTTGATTTTGATAGTAGTAATGATAATACATCTGAAGGTAATTCTGCAAGCGAAAATGAAAGCAGTGATTTATCCCTTGATAAAATGGAATTAGATATCAAGGTATGAGCAATTGAGCATACTATAGCGAATATCATTAAAGCTGACTAATACAATATATCGTTGCTTGCAGCTCAGGTAGTATTAATTGGTTGTTTTTGATTGCTTACTTTATTTACTGAAAGGCTTTTAAATGCAACTCATATTCACAGCTTACATCTACTTGTATATCAGGATGAGCATAATCTTATGAACCAGTCAATCTTACAAACATATAAAAATACAAAAGAATCGGACTGTCAAAAAGATGATACGAAAGATTTTATTGATACGAAGGAGAAATCATTAACCGAGACCGATAGTAAAATAGCTATAAATCCAGAGGTAGATACCACTATCGAAAACTGATATACATTACAAGACGCAGTAGAGTAGATTTCAATTTCAATAATTTATCCAAGGATGCCTAAAACATGTTACAATGTGGACCATATGCAATGTAATCGACGTGATATTTTCGTTATTGTATCTCATAAATTCAATAATTGAAGGAGGAAATAACATGTAATCAGAAGGGAAAAAAAGATAAAAGTGGTAAACGTCGTAAAATGGCAAATGAAGAGAATATTTCTGTTCGTGCTACAATGTCAAGTGACATAGGTATACAACACTTATATTTACGGTATATCAATCATTGTCTACTGTAAACTTTAAATTTTTAGTTCAGTATCTTCATTATATCATTGTTTAGCCAAGTTATTCCTTGAAATACTGTGAAGTATAGCACATGTTCAATTTTGATTGATTGGTTGTATATTACGATGTAATAGACTTAATTTATCCCACCGTCAAATTCGCTAATCTTGGTGGAATGGATGAAATTTTATGGGTTAGCATACTGCGGCATAATATTTCATTATAGTGAAATCAATTGCTGCTTTTAAAAATGCTCCAGAATTAATCACAATTTATGCCGTTATACGTTTTAGGAGGTTTGCTCTTTGCTACATCACATTTTGCATCCTGAAATATTTGAGCATTTTCACTGTGAAATTCCATGTGGGTTTCTACTACATGGACCCCCAGGTTGTGGCAAAACATTGCTTGCAAATGCAATTGCTGGAGTATGTACTTAAAATTGACATCAACTAATAAATAAGCTAGCGTAACTATCGGATGCCTTCCATTTAGGAACTTGAATTTCCATTAATTAAGCTAACTGCTACAGAAATTGTATCTGGTGTCTCTGGAGAATCTGAAAAGAAAATAAGAGATGTGTTCAATGTTGCAAAGGTAATATCGAATTGCCTTTTAATACTCGTAATATTGGTTATACATCGATACTAACTCTTACTATGTTTGAATTATGTAGGCAAATTCTCCTTGTATATTATTTCTTGACGAGATTGATTCTATAACGCAAAAGAGAGAACTTGCTCAGCGCGAAATGGAAAAGCGTATTGTGACGCAACTGCTTTCTTGCATGGATGGTAAGTTCCAATAAAGCAGTTTAGATATTTCTAATCTTTGAGGACCGAATGCGTAGTTGTATAGTACTTTCGTGTTTCTTTTCGCAGACTTATGCTCAAACACAAGAAATCGCGTTCTTGTCATTGGTGCGACAAACCGGCCGGATACCTTAGATCCAGCCTTAAGACGCGCTGGGCGTTTCGATAAAGAAATATCTGTTGGCATTCCAGATGAAAAATGCAGAAAAAGGTGAGAAAATGCTATATACTTGTATACGCGTATTTATTAATACTGTGCCGGTCCGTGCGCAATACACTAATGTCCTAATGATCTTTGGTACAATTTCGAAAATTTATTGCATATATACGTTAGTTAAGATTCGCATGCATTACATTATTAGAATATTAGAGGTGTTATGTAGCAAAGCACGTCTTGAAAATGACTTCGATTTCGATATTCTGGCCCATCTGACTCCTGGTTTTGTTGGAGCTGATCTTGCTGCACTATTAAATACAGCGTTAACAAGCGCGGTTAGCAGGTGTGTTCTCCTAATAATTAATTTAATTTTTATCCTTTAGGTAGTATAATCAATCATATTACTTATAAGTGGTGTCAATTAATAATCAGGGTATTTAAAGAAATGGATAGTTCTGCGCAACTAAATTCACCATCTGCTATGCTTCAGTATCTGAAAAATCAACGCACATTATCTGAATCGGATCTGCAATCTTGCTGCTTAAGCATGACAGATTTTCAAGTATAAAGCTAGCGTATAATCCTACTCAATTGCTAAAAATTATGTTTGGTCTACTAATAGTCACTTTATAAATTTTTAAGGACGCTTTGAAGATTACTCAACCTTCTTCCAAACGAGAAGGATTTGCTACAGTGCCTGATGTTACTTGGAGCAACATTGGAGCGTTAGAAGATATTCGGCAAACTTTGAAGATGGCGATAGTTGCACCAGTGCGTTATCGTCCTCTTTGCTTAGCTTACGGTATTTCTAAGCCGCCTGGCTTACTACTGGCTGGTCCACCCGGATGCGGAAAGACATTAATTGCGAAAGCCATAGCGAATGAATCGGGTTTAAATTTTATTGCTGTCAAGGGGCCTGAATTAATGAATATGGTACTGTACTTAGTCTCACAATATTATTTAATGAATTAGTATTTTTAATGACTTCTAACTGGAGGAGTATGTTTTTAAGAAAATGTGTAATTTCGATTTGTTAAAATCGATATTAATAGCTATAATGTAAGGCATAACTTGCAGTACCTTACGATTGACTTGATTACTTTATATAAATGAATATCATAGTATGTTGGAGAGAGTGAAAGGGCAGTACGTCAAGTATTTCAAAGAGCAAAATGTTCAGCTCCATGTGTTATATTTTTCGACGAATTAGATGCTTTGTGTCCACGACGGTTAGATAAAGAGGTTATGAATTATTAATGAAATAGATTAAGTATTATAATAATTGTGTATGCTTATACCCAGGGAAACTTTTAAACACATAACTGAAATTGATGCTATTAATTTACAGACTAACGTTAGTGATCGTGTAGTAAATCAAATGCTAACAGAAATGGATGGAGTTGAAAATCGCAAGCAAGTTTTTGTAATAGGCGCAACGAATAAGCCAGGTAGATTTTTTTCAAACGAGAGCATATTGACAGTAAATTTACCATTATTGAAACTCTTATCAGAAATTTATCACTGGGAATTATGTCATTTTCTTTTACATTAGATAAAATTGATCCTGCACTATTAAGACCCGGTCGCTTGGATAAGACATTATATGTTGGGCTGCCTGATGCTGCAGATCGAGCATTAATCCTTCATGCCATTATTAAGGTGCGTGTAATGTCAATTACTTTAATTAGATTGTTTTGTATGTCACAACCGTCGTTCTAGCCTAATATAAAATCTTTAACTACTTAGTCAAAGCCTGCTAATTTGTTTGAGTCTGTGCAATTGGATGAGATAGCACGCAGTAAACAATGCGAAGGATTTTCGTAAGACTATAGAAATGCGGCATATATATAATTTAACATACGAATGACGCGTTAAAGCATAATGAGTTATTTAAATTAATATAATTGTATAAATTTTTTTAATTTTAGTGGAGCTGATCTGGATGCCCTAGTAACTGAAGCTTGCATGATGGCGTTCAAAGAAGCACTAAAATCTGAGGAAAATAGTAGCTGTGATGATTCTGCTGCAGCAGACGAAAGCAGCTATCGAAGTTTACTTGGCTATAGAAAATTAAAGGCTGTCAACCTGATCAATGCAAAGGTCATCCCTGAACATTTCGACCTTGCCTTTTCTAAAGTAAAACCATCAATATCTGAAGAGGTGAGTAAAGAAAAAATATCAGATGTTATCCTGTCTAATATAACCGAAAGACGTTAATGTTGTCCATAACACTCATATAATCCTAGCATTTCTTATATGAACCAGCAAACATTGCACATAACCTATATTATACCATTTATGGCCATAATTATTTTTATTTCTGTTCATTGATAGGAACGTCGGAAATATGAAAAATTACGAAAAAAGTATTCGTATTACGCCGAGGATGATGTGCGATCATCATCATATGCTGTTAATAAGGAAAGCTGAGACTTATTCATAGTCTTTTAGCGAGAGAGTGAAATATGTATATGCATGTATTGTATAAAACAATCATTCAAACATATGCCTGTATTAGCACCTGAATATGCGATATTGTTAGAAAGCTATGGCACAGTTGGAATAATACCAATTTTTATACTATAATCTGGTGATAGCGTACGCAGTGCGCAATAACGATTCTCATCAAATAAAAATCTGCACAGATAATTAATAAATGATTCTGTCCGAAACTGTGTTATCAACCGGTGAAAAGCACAGTACGGCAAGAAGCATCAACAATGCAGTGTCCGTTTTTAGAACAATGTATCAAAAACAAGATAAGGTCTAATCAAAAATATTGATTTATAAATTTAGCATAATATATAATTTATATTATTATGCATATATATTAGACTTTGTATCTTCTCTTATTAAGTGATAGCGATATATTGTGTATATTTCGCACTATACACAGCAGAGAAAAAATAAAACGCATGGCATAGAAGAATGAATATGATACACAGCCAGAGGGCATTGTCGCTAATAGTAGTAAAAATCATGATTATTGTTGAGCAATAGATCTCTGAACGATACTTTTTTAAGAAAGTAATCCAATATTAATTGCATACTTTAAATTTAATACTCTTCGTCGTCTTCTTCAGTACTACCAATAATTCTATAAAATAGCTCTACAGCTGTAAAAGTGGCAGCATTCACTGGAAACGCTCTTAAAAGAGCACTATTCAAGCCACGAGTAAGGAAGTATAGACCTTCATTTTTATAACTTTTTAAAAAACAATCCCTTAGGCCGGAATATTCCATGACACCAGTATGCAAACCATCAGCTTGTATGCGTGTTTTAAGTACATCAATAGGATATGTTACTAACCACGATATAACACCAGTCATACCGCCCGCAAACAACATTTTAGAAACGGTTAAGTATAAAGGATCAATTTGTTCATTTAAAACCGCTTTACAGATGGCATCGTAAGATGAGAAGTATGTGCCACAACCGATAGCTTCACGTAAGACAGTTAAATTCATTCCACGATAGCAACCTTTTAGACCATAAGTCTTGTATACGTGATGCAAACAGTGAAAAGAACTTCGAAATTTTACACTTGCATTCTTTTTTCCGTTAGCTAACTTATTAGTATCATTCTCACTTTGTAATTGCATCCATGTTTTAACTAACTGCAAGCAGCAGCAATACAAAAAAAGAGTGATTATAAGCAATGTGATAAAAAATTATTCATCTTAAAATCTTTCAATATTATGTAGAACATATTTACGTTTTATGCAAGAAATTATTTGCATATATCACAAGCGAATAAAATACAGTAAACCAATTTAAAATTAGCAACAGATTACATCAGAGTGTAAAAAGTATTATATCGACTTATCGCAATAGATACTGAAACTTCTTTTATTAAATGTATTAATTATATTAGTTTCTAGACTTAGTCTGAAGGAATATCGATGTTATTTTCTAACATACAGTATCTGTGATATGTTGTTATGATAAGACTTTATATAATTAAGCTTACTAATTTACCTCCATTGGACAGGCAACTCCAGATTGGAAGGTACCAGCTATAGATCCTGCAATAAATCGACTACGACTATTGTCGTCAGGTAATCGCCTTAGGATGTTGCCATATGTGCCGAAGATAATAGCATTAATGAAAGTTACTCCTACCAGAGGTGATTGCATTCCTTTATATAAACCTAAAAACTACAATTAATTTATCTTATTTTAAACATTGTTAGTTAAAATCGAGGCCAACAATCATCTATTATACAAAACACTTAATCTTCTTCAATATCACTTAAACGCTAACAAACAGTATATTGATAAAGCATTGTAACTGGATACAATTCATCACTGGAATTAAAATCACCGGGTAATGATAGCCGTAATATATGTTATACTTTTTTATCTATTCCTCCAATTTCTTGTTCGATAACACAATATAAGATCATTAAGTACAATATCTCAAATATATTCCTTAGATAGGTTGGATAGTATGAATTAGTATAGTAGAATCGCTACACATATATCGAGATTTCGGGTAGTAGCGTGTACGATAAATAACTTTTGATACGTATATAATGTAGTTCAGTTGCAAATTGAGAATATTTACAATACTACATAAAGATAAATTCACAAACCTGGGTGATTGTTGTGTTTCATGGTATATATGGTATATACAATCATGAGTTGTGACTACTATAGTAATTGAATTACCAATAACAATAAATAACAAAAAGTTATTGCATATTACGTGATATATGCAACATGAACTGCGACTTTTTTATATTAGCAATTGTATTACATACAATATTGTACCTCATTTGCATCGTAAAATAAACTTGATCAGCTTACTCGCAACTAGGTAGTAAGTACAATCGAGATGGCTGCCACCTTAAAATTGTAGCTTTTTATTATCAGACGCATTTCATTATACGATGATTAATGTGGTACTTTACATCCAAAGACGTAAGATATCAGGTAACGTTAGGCATGATCTTGTGATGTGCATAAAGTAGAGGTAAGGTGTGATTTTTTTGAATACTATGCAGTATATGCACCATCTTACGTCTATCGAAACCGGCATTATATAGTATCTGTATAGATTATGAATTTATGACACTAAAGATATGTCATGAAAATAGGAGTACGCCTTACGTAGCTATAAATTCAAATATCTTGTATATACTGAACACTGTACACAAAATTTTTCAGTTATAACAATTTACGAATATCTGTGACTACGATAATAATACGGTAATAATTTCGAATCTCAACTTCAAAAATATTAGTATCTCATCTAATTTGACTTTGACTCCATCTACGTACAGGGTAAATATTCTATTTATTTACTGTACATATACGCGTATGTATCACAATATGGTAAGAACCTACCGATTCTTTACGTATGGTTGATGAGAAGCAGTGGATAGTACCTCTATATTGAGGATTATTTATATTTTGAGCTTGTAAGCGGACCTGCAGAGACAACATTTATGCAGGTTAACATTGAGAATCATTTTATTACAGTAATAACATAATATTTTAGAAATACACAAAGTGAGATAAATGTTTAACTAGATATTTAATAAAATAATGTATAGTAGGATACAAAACTTGGGTGAATTTATATTTCTGTTACTTATTACAGACAGTCCAGCGTAGGAAATCAATCACCTATGGTATCCATAAAATTTTATACTTTATATTCAAAAATGGAATTGTTACCGATGACCAACAGTTATTAAATCCGAGTAATTCTTATATTACTTATTATACTGTATCCCTTAGCATTGTTGACAATGCCAATGGTATACCTTGACAGTCACTCTCGACATTTTATCAGTATCGTAAATATTCTCGGTAGATAACCCGATGTAGTTGATTACAAATCAATATGATGTATCATAATATTTACCATATCCGGAATGATATTAACTTAAAAAAATAATAGTATACATAGGTTAGTACCTTGACCGTATCGAAAGGATGGCCAACTAGGATGCCAGCTAAACCTATCAACGAGAGAATGCAACTTATCAATCTATGGAAAAACCAAACTACAGTTATTATGATTAATTATTAACAGTTTTATTTACTAACCGTACCGTATTTTATATCGTATTGACGATAGTAACATAATACATTACTTGATAGCTATAACAATACAAATGATACATTTATAGTAAGAAGGATTATGCAGATTATAATTATACAAATATACGATCGAAAAATCACTACAAGACTCAAAATATCACAAATCATGATATAATTCACGCGTAAAATAGTAGTATACAACATTTGGAATACATGTCTGCCAAGATGTGCATTATCCATGGTGACTGAGGTAATATCCGTAATATATACAGTCTCCTAAGGATGTAAGATAACGAACATGGCGAGAGCCGACAAAAGTAATTACTGTCGATACTCGACGTACAGTAGTGAGCACTAATTACTGTAGAGTAAATGTTTGCACTGACAACGCTTTCAATTGATTACTGTAAAAGTATGATTTGACTGCATGTGAACTGATATTTGATATTATAGAATCCATTGTATTGTATAAAGTGAAATATAATCCACTCTCTTTATGCTTCGGTAGTATGAAGGACAGTATTGCGCAAGGAAGAGATACCATTTCTCCTTGTGCCATAGTAGTGCACTCTTAAAGCTATACTTTAACCGAACATCCACTACTATTGGATACTATTATACTATAGAAGTAACTGTACAGTGTATAATCTATCACGAAGCATAATCAATTCTCCCTTTGCTTGAGCATAGTAGGATAAAGCCCTAGTTTACGCGTATTTATTTTTCAATCCAACACTCATCCATTCAAATAATTATCATCATAATTTTAATCAAAAATTGCAGCTAATGTGCTATGTTGCATTGCTGCAACGCCATAATTGCTCTATAGGATATCCAAGGACTTTTACAAGCTTAGTGGCTAATTAAGGATAACTGTATCATCATTAATTCAGTATACAAATTATCGATAGATCAGTAACATTGAGTAGTAAATGAAACATTGTTTTTGTTGCAATATTATCCATTATACTGTATGATATATTATTCTATGCAAAGTAACTTCAATCTTAGAAAAGCATCATTATCTTACACTATCGGACTCCCCAAAATGGAGATTGTCAAAAATGCCAAGGCTAACTGCTTTGCTGGTCATTTACTCTGCCGGAAAAGTGGAGCCGTACGGTACAGTATACCGTTTGGAGCTTACCGTGAACTAGCGTTACTACAACTGACCATTACCGATGCACAATTTAGTTTAAATAACCAGCAAACTAGTTCGCCTGCCCATTCTTGGCAACGAACACTTGGTCGTTGCCTCTCTCTTTTAGTGATGAATGAATAGATTCAAAGCATTTTTATGATCGACATTGATCCAGTACGTGCTGGAATATGTCCATTACTGGTAGTACAGTATCACGAGTGGCAATGATCTTCAATATTATCATGATCGATGTTGCAGTTAGAATTTAGAATGATTATTAAAAGGGATTAATTTTCTATTTAACTAGCGTTACTACAACTGACCATTACCGATGCATAGTTTAGTTTAAACAACTAGCAAACTAGTTCGCCTGCCCATTCTTGGCAACGAACACTTGGTCGTTGCCAAGCTCTTTTAGTGATGAATGAATAGATTCAAAGCATTTTTACGATCGACATTGATCCAGTACGTGCAGGAATATGTCCATTACTGGTAGTACAGTATCACGAGTGGCAATAATCTTCAATATTATCATGATCGATGTTGCAGTTAGAATTTAGAATGATTATTACAAGGGATTACTTTTCTATTTTGGGGGGGACAGTTGATTAACATGATTGAATTTCTTTATTATTATTATGGTAATACAGGAATAATATGATAATAATAATTAATTATTATTATTATTATTCAAAGTCTGCAAGCGTCTACAGTGTACAGTATTGTACTGTACAGTACATACTGTACGTCACTGAGGCATACAAGACATTTTTGTATAGCGCTGTTGTACTGTACTGTATAGTAAGGTAAGGGCCAATCCCACGCCAAACCTACTGTAGTGAAATAACAGTTGCGATATACAGTACTGTACTGTACATTACTGTATACTCCAGCAACATGGCATGGTGGCGTTTGGACAATAGAATCCAAAAATAAAATAATACGAGTATTCCAAATTGCAATGGCAAAGTATCCAGTACATGGGGAATATTAAAAAGGAACTAATAAGCAGCAATAATGCATGCACACTTGCACAGCAAATTATAATTTACCTCCAAAGCAACCGGCTACGAAATCTAAGGCCATTTAGCAATAGGCGGATAGAATTCAATTCAATTTTCTTGATTCAATTTGATTTCGACCTTTCCTCTGGGCATTACCGTAGACTGATTGCATCGATAAGCTACATCACTATTTAACTTGATGACGCTGGCTAATTTCACTCAATTTCATGCATTGATAGTAGGATCCACTGATTCTACGTTTGCTTGAATCGCTAGTACTAGAAAGGAGCAATCTTTCAGGTTCAATTTAGGAGGATTACTGCTTATCCAATTCTACGACATGCCATCCAGGAGTCTAAGGCTACGGTGCTGTTACGCATTCATATGTCACTTCCAATTACGGTAGGGTACTATACAGTGTACAGTACACTTCAATATTGTACATTGTACTGTAAAGTGTACAGTAAATACTGTGCTGTACTGTACGAGTGGTGTACTGTACAATGTTGAGTGTACAGTATGTATGGAAATTGGGAATCGACGCGTTCTTTACAAATGGTCGTTGATGACAGTCTGCTCTACATAATTGGTGTACGGTACCGGGTACCACATGCTGACTACTGTACAGTACTGTACTATATTGTGCTGTGGAAGGTGCAAGTCTGCAACCATTAGCTGTATCCAGTCATAATTGGTCACGTGGTTCGGCCACCCTTTGGGGGGGTATCACAGCACTCCATGCATTCTTTTCTTTCTCTTACAGTATGATATGAAATAGCTATTTAAGACTAGTTAGGGAAGAATGAGGACTTCAAGTACAGTATGCTATATAATCTATCTATCTATCTTCTAGAATCTACCGTCGAGGGTAAAAAGTGAGAGTTTTTAATAACGGAGGAACTGTTGAGGATTTTACTAGTACAGTACAGTCGCAGTACGGTTACTGTAGATCCCTCGATCGGACTTTACTCCAACTTTTGACTCTGTACAATGGATCACTGACTCACTGAATCCATACAGTAGAGTAGACAGTCAACGAAGTCACATTAATCCAATTTTATGACGTAGTCATGGAGCGACGGAAGATTGCATACTGTAGGTTGATCATGAATTTGCGATGGTCTACTCAGAATCTACTGTGCACTGTGCTGTGTGTTCATTTGTACTTTTAGTATCCAGAGACATGCACTAATGACTACTTTATTCCATATTGTCACCTTCTCTTTTATCGGGCATGAGCATCTACTAGTGTGCAGTACTGTATAGACGAAGTGCACTGTGATATGGCTTTTTTTAGACACCGGACATGGTCAGAGCTAATTAAAGGGACTTCTGACACTTTACCATGTAATCATTCCTAGTCACTCGTTCATAACAGTGTACGTAGTACTGTACGGGAAAGACTCCATCGTTGTTCATGCACATTTCGAAGAGGAATTTTCTCGACAAGTCCGTGTACAGTGTACAGTCCATTCGTTCTCTCTGGACTGATTGATTGAGTAAGCACGATCAACGCCGACACTATACAGTAGACAAGGACTACAGACTACAGTGACGACATTCAACTGCATTGCACCGTCATGCACGTGTGTTGCGAGTTCACAAAAAGCTAAGAAAAATCTCTGATAATTCATTTATGAATTCTACATGTTATCTATAGTGATCTATATCTATATAATCATTCAATATCGTTCATAAGCGTCTAGAATTTCTTCAAGAAGTTCATGAAAAAGCTGTAGTAGTGACAGTACACAGTGATAGTATGACTCAAGTCTCAAGAGATCATCGAGTACTGTAGTGAAAAATTGAACAGCTGCTACATTAATGGATCGATGGACTATCGGTACAGTACCAGAGATTTTTGATTACCTCCATAACCAGTCAGACTCCATGCTTTACAGTACTATACAGTACAGTACTGTGCAATATACTGTACACTGTAGAGTACTGGACTGTACAGGCTGTTTCATAACATTTTGTCACTTTCGGGCCATATTTTTCTTTAAAAATACAGTAAAACTATAATAGAATGATATATGAGGTTGATGGAGAGATTCTGAAATATCTGAATCTGGTAAAGTTAGAAAGTTAAACTTGCTCTTAAGTCCATAAATGATGAAAGTATCACTGACCGTTATACTGTACAGTACTGTAGACGTTTTTTCTTTTCTTTTTGTTTTATTACACAGTACTGTAGAAGATAACTGACTATCAAGCCTGTGCCGCGCAAGTGGATGCTGATTGAGAGTAGTACGAACCTTCAATACTGTACAGTATGGTTGTTGTACTGTACAGTATTAACGCTTGATACAGTAGTAATACTGTACACTGTACATTGTAGTCTACAGTACTGTACTGTAGAGCGTAGACGTTTTTTCTTTTCTTTTTGTTTTATTACGAAGTGGATACTGATTGAGAGTAGTACCTGTACAGTACAGTACGAACCTTCAATACGGTCGTTGGTATTTACCGTCGATAGTAACCCTGTACTGTACAGTACAGTGCAATATACTGTACAGTACTGTACGATACACTGTGCACTGTAGACTGTAGACCAGTGCAGACGTTTTTTCTTTTCCTTTTTGTTTTAGCCAGTTGAAGTTTCGGTCCGTATACGGTTCCAACCGAACCTCTGCCAGGTCGTGACGTCTAGTTGAACATGACTGACGATCAAGCCTGCGCAAATTGCAGGGTTGCAAGGCGGCGCTGGGCATACCTCGTACAGTAGGAGTATATGGCCATTAGGATAAACTAACTCGTGCCACTATCTAATTTAGCTTGGGCTCGTGATTGGAAATGGGGTGTACCTGATTTTTTGGGGTAGTGTTGTTATATAATCTTGGGCTTGGTTGGAGAAAATTGTTCTTCGCTGTTCGCTCATAAGCTTACTGTGTGTAGTAGCTAAGGTAGTTTCTAGTGGCGAGTCATTTCCATCCATCTGGTCGCGTTATTCGTTTTCTATTACCAAGGTAGGCCAAGGGTCGACTACTCCAAGATAGAGAGGCATGAGATTAGACGAAAAGATAATACAAAGATTAAAAGGCAAACGAATTGGATATTCAATTGGCGAAAGGAAGAAAAGAAAACTTAATTTCGACTTACTAGCCGAATTATGCAGGTTAGTAGGAGAAGACAACACCATCATTTCACAAACGAGCTGACTCGTTGTTGATGTTTCACGCTCAATCTTGCCTATTGATTAATTATACCCATTAATATTTCCTACTATACCTTTCCCATTCTACGCTGATAACACCACAGTCCATCATTTCCATCGTATTTATATTCTATTAGTATACAATCCATACTTCATACAGACGTACTCCTCGATCATACTATTCAACATCTTTCAAGACAAAAAATACTCAAACCATATTGGTTAATTATTCATACTTGACTATGTTCCCAATAGTGAGATTGGAAAATCGCTTGTGGGTGTTATTAAATTGATTTACGATGGAGTCATTGGCTAATCTTGTAAAGGATGTATACTGTTATTGTTGTATCCTATCCTTTCTTTCTTCACCCTCAAGTATGAAAGTGAATTCGCCACCATTGGCGTAATGCAATGTACTTTCTGATGAGTCTGCCTGCTAGCAGCGATCAATCGATTGTCATACTCTCCACAAATAATTTTAAAAATTGGCCATACTCTACCCCTACCAACAAGCCTAATACCATGCTATACAAAACATCCAAATAAGTGTGCACAAGTTGAGCGATCCCCTGACATGGAGATGGCTTGCGTACGATCGATTTAAGTTTCCATTCTTTGATGACAATTAATTCATGCAAATATTCACCAGAAACCGGATACGATGAATAACAGTTGGCAAAAATAGCTACTGCCAATTTTGCTACAACCTTAGTACCATATTGTATTCTACTCTACATATGGACACAGTCCACACTAAGAGTGTTTGTGTTGTAGTACTGCATGCCTGTCAGTCCTTTACAAAGCCATACAACAGAGTTTTGGGGACTAGTCTCCATCATCGACTGGTTATACCTGCCAATGCTTACTACGCTACTGTAGGCAAAAGCAACATCTTCTTCTACAGTTGCCTTCCAACTTTCTCTCCCTTAATTCATGGACTCATAGTGTGCCTCAAAGAATACAACGTATTGTTCAATACTTCAATGCCACTCGACAGGAAGCACATGCCGCAACAACTTGCTCACTCTTGCCACTGTTAGCGTTTTATTGCATCCATTTCTCACTCTACATTCGCTCTTTCAAGCTGAAGCTAGTAGCCATGAGAGGATTGATGTAGATTCACCAATAGCTCCATGTTTTACTTTATACTAGAACTAAATACAAGTATCAACAAGTTGATCATTAAGAAGCGTCATTGCATCTCGATACTGTAATGTCCTTTTAAAAAATAAATACTGCAGGCTGCTAAAATGATCATCTTTTGAAAAAAAAAGTATTTCAGAATGGAGAGTGTCATATCGTGCGAACTTGATAATTGTCAGTAAATCAGATTACGTGCTCGCTGTAGTCGAAAGCCTTGACAACATCATTATTTAGCCCTTGAAGTAATACAACCACACCCGTACAAATTGGTTATATTGGCATAAGTTAAATGCCAACAAGTGCACGTAGATTGATCGAAAATTTCAATCTCGTGCAACATTCGACACTAAAACTAACCTTAGACAATCGATACTGTATAGGAGAGCATAGAATTGATTCTATTTCCCTTTTCATTCACAACGAAATGGAAATAATATCAATCCTAAATTATTGCTTACGACACATGGACTATTCGAAAAAAGATCATCATCATGTTTTAGTGGTGCACGATGCCGTTTATTCCTTGCTGAAAGGAACGCGTACGATTTTGTTCTAAATACGATGCCATTTTTTAAGCAATCGACCTTCCCCTACGCATGCTAACCCCTAAATTTGAACAACAAAAGCGCTACGGTGCAGTAAACGATTCATGAACTAAGTCAAAGTTCTAGCATCAGCCATAAAAATAAAAGACTCCGTATGATCACGTTTAAACCTCCAGTGATAGCCGTTGATCGTTGTCATAACGGCGATCATCAGCTTTGATTGCCGTTTCAATTTACAGTACTATACTACTCATCACCGAGAAAGTAGTCAACACTGTTGTATCCAGACTACAATCTTCCATTCTAACAGTTTTTATACATGCAATAGACTCCAATTTAGACTATCCTATACTGTTCAACGCTACTAATATTATTAAATGAAGTAAACAGTGCAACCCAAGCCTTAAAACTGAACAGTACTGTGCATACCAACCAATATTAAATTGTGCTTGTACAACGCATTTAGCGGATCGAAAGGAACGCCTTGTCGCTTCCATATTTACCTTAATTAATTTCCACTTATCCAGAATGATCATGCACAGCAATGGAGGAGCTATGGCATATGTTCTTTGGCTTTAATTAACCAACATACAATTACGGCACGGAAAGACTTTTTTGCTTTATACTGTAATTAGCTACAGCGTAGCATCGAATCATTGCCTTGTACGCTGGTGATACCATATTAGTTTGATTTTAGTTTTGCTTAGTACACAATAACTGCAGATAGAAATAAAAATTTCAAATCTGGCAATACTGCTGATTGTACATACTTATCACATGCGAATCTCTTCAACTAGCTCATTTTTGGGGCTAGTAAAACAGTGGCCAATAACGTCAGATTGTTGTGACAAGTCATTTACACAAAACCTATTCCTTGCCAATATCATTTTAGTCACAAACGGATTATTCCAGTAAATTTATATCATATGCTATAGCCTATTTATTCATAATTACCCGTGTTATGTTGCCATTGTGAGCCGTGCAATACAGGCATTAAAATATTCTATATAAATCAAATTCATTTAATTTAAACTCATAAAAATCACAGCATACTGTTATTACAGTATGGATTACTGTATTTAGCCGTAGGTAAACATTGCTTAATGCTAGACTAAAAATAATATCTAATATCAAGGACTACTAAGAAAAGTACAATTATTACTCTAGATAGGGGTAATCACATGAGACTAGGTGAAGATGGGACATAAAGGCAGTAGGGCGAGTTATTAGTCTGCTAATCCTAATCAAAAATCGTTAACACATTAGAAAATTCTCGATTACGATATTCCATTAGGGCGTGTTGATTGACAGTACACTATATATGACATATACATATACATATGTAGTACATACTGTCCTAGGTCTTGGTGATCTTGTCTTATAAACAGTTATGGTTGGCTTGTATAGCAGGAGTAATCGAATGAAATTGTACATCTTAACTGTCTTATTTCCTGAATGAGTCTACGCGAACTTAATCTCAGCTACATAGGAAACCTTAGAGTTAATACTTGCGCGATCTTTACATGATCAAAGTATTAAGAATGTCTACTCTCTTATTGCAAAACGATAACGTTAATAATTAATTCATGTATTTACCTTTTCATAAATTGTTATGATTTCAATGGCTAACAATCTTGTCATTTATTTATTTTATTTTCAATTATGCAGAAGCCATGGATTTGAATTTATAGAGGTAAGCTGTAAAAGAATCAAGATTGATTCCTAAATTTTGTTAAAACACACGCTTTCATATTCTGCACCGCTAGTTTAATCTGACTTTTATTACTTCTAAATGTAGTACGTATATAACATTCGTTTCTATAATATCGTCTATCGCACACCATATGCATATCCTAAAGATCAATTACACACATTATTTAAATTTCTCAACACGTTAACATCTATCGATACTTGTCATAAACTTTGTTAGTCTATCTATTATGATGTAGATTGTAGAAGTATAAATTTATCTCGATAACACGAACATGAATCAACTAAACGTACAGTATACTGTGTAGTGTACCTGTAGGTCTATCGTTAGAAAAAAGTATTTCATCTTCATTGGCAAGGTTGTTTTTCTTTGCTCAATGAAAGAGCGCTAGACATACAATACGATAGCGGCTAATCGAATAATAAACGCTCTACCTTTATCCTAATGCTATAGGTACAATAGGCATTAGCTCAAATATCCAATACTTACATAAATATATGAACACTTTTATTATGATAGATTGATTTAAACATGGATTTAGAACAGCAAGGACCATTTGATGTGGTTATCCATAAATGGAGTGATTTACTTGCGGCGCCTTCCGATGTGTCTAACTTAATCTACGATTTACAGGTACGATAAATCTACAAGTGATAATATACGTATAATTGATATTGTACACTGTGTAGCACGCGTTTATTATAGAGGGAAATACTACCCAATCATAAGTTATCTAAGTGACTGTAATTGACTGCATCCATTTTACTGCGGATATTACGAAGCTACAGTACTGTAATTTATATTATATCCTTATCGTAGCTGGATACTTTGCTTTACCTCTATTATCTCATCGATCATAACGTGTGTAAATTTTCTCTAATTAGTTGCTTTATGAAGTATTGGGAATTAACTTCTCCGTTATATTGTACAGGACCTTTTTAGCAAAATTAAAAATTTCACTAGTATGCTATTTGAAAGAAATATCATATGTAAATACCTGATATCTATTTTTTGTTAAATAACCTAAATTACTTCAAAATTGAAATGTAAGAATATTACGAAACATCCCAAAAGAACGCAGTATTATTCAGCCTGTTGCGTAGTTAAAAGTAATAGAAATATTACGAGCCCTACCAATTGACAATTTTTATACTGTCATAATGTTAATATGTTATAACTACAACATCTCTACGCTGCCCTCACCCCTGGTGTTGTTACTCTGATTGCGATGTGATATAATCAATTTGATAATCGCCCACGAAACATTTTTATAAACCAGAGCTCATATATGAGATTATTTTCGTAACTTTTTACACTGTATCATATCTTCTAAGACTTGATCGGCTTCATTGTAACAGCTATAATGTATTGAAATGTTTTTATTGTAATTGTGTAGAACTATTTCAGCAATCATCCGGAGACTATCATGTTGGACCCTATAGCAAGTGTCTGTACATTGGTCGACCGTAGTCGGACTTATGCTGCCGTCAGTGAATACAGCAAAGAACCAAGTAAGATATTTTTGTGTAGCTGTAGGATTATTTTAGGTAAACTATCATAAATTTCTTATAGAAACGTAACTACTTAGAAATATCTCCAATTTATGCTGTACCTTACTACGTAATAGGAAATATATAGCCTATACTGAATTGCAGCACATATTGATTTAGTATGGGATCGGTATTGAATTTATCATGAATTCAAATTATGATGCTTGAATCGTTGCCTATTTACGGAACGTCGTGTAAAGTTTGCGTTATAGTACTTATACTTTATAATAATGTTCGTTTAATAGTTGCGATAGATGGTTAACAACACATTATTTGTATTTCGCTGCAAACTCACCGAGTAGTGATTAAATTTCTATATTCTTTGTAAGATCACAGTTGATATCAAGTTTAATTTTTTAAATTATCGATGTAACTCTTTTTATGTGAATTAGATTCCTGTCTACATATCCCTAACTTCGTCACTATACCCGAAAATACGGACAAACATCCAATTCTGACATTGCTAAAGAATGCTAAAATTCGATTTCCTATTGGTAAGATGTCATAACATTACCTAACTTCTACCATTGCTACACTCAGATCAATACTATGATAATCTCCTATCAGGCTTGTCTTGTAAATTTTTAATCTAGCTTCGCACGACTGCAAATTTTAATTTACCTAATTGATTGCGAATTATAGAGAACTGATAAATGGATAGAATTGTATATAGTTTATTACGTTACAGAAGGGCATAACTGACTTTTCTTATTTGTGCAGTACTAATTAATCTGCTTTATTTGTAATTCTAGTTTGTAAGCCTATTGTTGCTCATGGATCATCTCTTTCTCATACGGTATTTATATCATTTTACAAATCGTCTAAAAACAATACGCTATGCATTGACGTATTATATGTAAATGCAACATGATACCAGTTTTCACATTCACAAGCATTATTGGCATTAAGTATGATAGTAATCTATCCATGCATATTTTAATCATTATGATAGATGTGCATAATATTTAATGAAGCTGGTCTGAAAGATTTAAAATCTCCATGTGTTGCACAGCAGTTCATAAATCATAACGCAGAATTGTTTAAGGTAAATAGTTTCCTATTTTACTTTACTGAAATTATTTTGACATGTGATAGTGAATTTTGTGTGATTATGTACCTTTCGTATTAAACAAATATTCTCGAACTAAATTTCTTTCACGGTGATAGATTTTTGTGATTGGGAATGAATACCATTGTGTAAGAAGGCCATCCATTAAAAATTTTCAAGCATCTGGCAAGTAGCTGTAGTAGGCTACAATATTTAATTATTATTATTGCCTATTAAAATTTTAACTGTCCTATTTATTTTATTAATTGAAAGTAATTCGTAGAATCATTATCACTAAGTTTATAATTAATTGATAGCATTTACTTTATATTAACGGACTACTTATTTTCGTCTTTGAAAATTTTTTCTAATGTACACTCCTTTATTCCGATACTAATCAGCCGTTATTGTTCATTGGTACATATATAGATAGAGATACTATCACATTCAACAGTCATGAAGTATCTAAAGCCAGATCCTCGTCATTTTTAAATGAAGTAAATGCGAACTCGAGTAGTTGTATTTGATCAATATGAATAACGACCAAATTTCTAACGCTCTTTTGATTGATAGTGTGATGAAAAGAGACCCGTTAATGCCATGCCTGACGACGCGATTATTTCAAGCATTGTTAGAAAACTTAGAACATCTTTAGTACGTTATAATCGTAGATTATTTTTGCGCTATATGAATAAAATAAATGAAGATAAATTAATTTACTAAATCAACATAGTAATTACTATTCTAATGTCTATAATTACAATAGGACTTGAAATTGTTTGGTGTGGATGTCATTATTGATAATATAACCGGGCTTCACTACGTAATAGATGTTAACTTCTTTCCGGGTGAGTGAGATCTTGAAAGCGTATTTGTTTCTATAGTTGTATGCTTACGCGCATACACTGAAAATAGTAATGCTTTGCTTATATCAATTAATATCATCATCTATTAGAAATGTAGTGATAACAATCTACTTTCTTGGCTCTTGATTCTAGGATACGATGGATTTCCGAATTTTTTTGCATCGTTATTTAAGCTTTTCTATCAAGTTATAGAGGGAAAAAGGGGCGATTGCTTCGAAGAGATCAACGGTAACCATCAAAATGGTATCACTAGAAATGGCATTAGCCATAATGGAGTGGCTAGTCAATCTTCTGGACAAAAATAATAGATCAATTACATTAGGCTTCGATCGTTACTGAAGCTCAAACTATATTTTAGTTGCAAGCAACCTAAAGATTTTATCGAGACATGGTAGCGATCGTAAAATGTGCATACTTTCGCTTACTTCAGTTGAAGCCCGACAAGAAAATTTATATAGTTATTTAATTATTTTGAAAAAAAAGCTGCAATAGTTATTTAATTCCGCATTGACGATCGATTATAACCCATTCATAAAGAAATTATATACGACGCCTTTTCCGGATCATGCCGCAATGTATACATAGGGTTATATAGTTAAATTTGCAATCGTAGATGTAGTCAGTATTTATCACCTATATTATAATTTTAAACTACAGAACTTAATGCAGATATATGGTTAGGTAGTTTTATTTTATTGTGTGTACATAGACTAGATCAAACATGATAATCTTCGATAATTTAAGGGAATTTTGTATTATAAGACTTCAGTTAAAAGATTGCGGTATTTAATTTTATATGATTTTGATTGCAATATTAAGAAATTTGAACAGGCTTAATGTACCAAACCTTCATATTCATGATAGCTGTTGTGATTAGTTTTTTAAGAAAAACGCTTATAATCACCGAGACTAATACAACCTTTTGCTAGAATTTTTTACGTATCGATTTTGTACGTGTTAAAACTTACATTTATATGATAAAGTCTGCTTATGCGTACGAGAGTACTTTTTGAAGTCGACTCAACGACTACATCTGAAGAATTATTGCTGCAATGTGACATAGTTTACCATTACAGCATTTCTACAATACTGCCCAAGTTTTATTTGTCTGGCTGGTGCTACACATAAGAAACAGTTGATCATACATAGTTTAACAGCACTCTGTTGACATCACTTAAACAATAACAGCTTTTTTGCAGTGTTAACCTTGGCACAAAATCCTAACGGAGCCGTTCTTTTAAAGCATATTTTATGTTCTATGATATGACATAATAAATAAGACAATATTCTGTCCCTTTTATACAATATCTTATTTTTTTCACGTATTGGTTTGATATCATTTAAAGAAAAGTTTTTCTTTACCATACAGCAAAATAAATAATAATAATGAGCATATATCCTAGCTAGATACTTGTGCTATTATTGTCATCACAAGTTATTAAGAAATAATATTAATAGTTGAAATTAATTACGAGTTTGTCTATAGTTAAGGTGATATTTCGAAACAAAGAATCTTGTCGATTTTAAAGTACTATTTGCATGCTAGTTGATTACTAATAGTTGAGTAAAATCATGATACACTCTTGTATCAGCTCATTACCTTTACAAGGTTAAGTATAGCTAGACAAAATAAGTATTTGATTTAAGAATATCAAAGTTCAAATAACTATGATCGCAATGTTTTACAAAATTGTTCTATCATTGGAACAACTTGAGAAGTTTTGATTTTATCGGAATAATTACATATAAGTACCCCATACGGTAAATTACATGCTATAAGATATGATGGACGATGCTTTGTCGATGAAGTCAGGTAGACGCTACAGTAACATTAATCAAACATGAAATTAGCAATATTTAATCGTGGAGAAGCAATAACAGATTACAACGGTATAACTGCTGAGCGTTGGTAAGTATTGATAGAAAATTAATTTACCCTCAATGAGAGCGAATATCACTATTTAATGTTATAATTCCAGACAATTTAGTAAATACTATGGCAACGAATACATTATTTGTCACGAAATGTAGTTCACAATTGAGGATATTAAACTAGGCAGAAGATAACGGTATACAGATATATCAAAAATCCAAACGAAGGCTACCTCCAATATGTCCTCTTGAAAGTAATAAATCTAATACATTGTCCATTCGTGAATATCAGTTCGAAAGTATTCTGAGGTTGTTCTTCGTCCACTAAAATCAAGCAAATTTTTATAAATTGAATATAATACTCTATAACCAAGGCAAAGTTATTAGCTTGTTTGTAGTAGTAAAGAATATAAGTATCGTAGGATTTCTTTTATAAAAATTAATGATTCGTACATTCTATGAATCTATTTCGTATGATCCAAATATTTGAAGCGATCCATCAACCTAGCTTATTACTTTGTATAGTTATAACCTAATCCTAAGCTTAATGCCAGCTAATAAGACACACGATATATCTGGTAGTGCATTTTAAAGTATTTTACTACTATGCAAAACTACTGCTTGCATAAAACTGTACAGCTATGACACAGCATAAACAGTATGACGTTAGCCTTCAAGATTAGAATAGCAATACTGAAGTGCAACGGAAAATAACTTGCACCAAATCGAAACTATCTCTTTATGAAATTTTAAGGTATTAAAAATGATATTACCGTCAACGGAACAAACTCGCTGGAAGGCAGCAATAAATTTAGCTAGTGAATCCTAATAAATTAAGAACAAATTAAGAATATTTGTATTTATTATCCATCTCTCTAAAGAATTTCACATCTTTCGCTGTATGAAAAGCACTAATACCCTATATAATATTTTGTTTATGTCATAGTTCTATCTACTAGAGGTCGCTACAGATACGCATATTGGTAAAATTAAGAAATTCTATTTCTATAAATGCTACATTAGTAATATACGAGTACGTATTTATTTAAAAATATACAATATTAATACTGTGCATTCTACGTTTACGTCGTTTTCAGTTATACTTGTGTGACTGCCTCCAAGGTACCGGCTGCTGTAATAGTATTACCAGATTTACTTAATAATACACATCCGTCAATCAATCCTCTTGATAGCAAGTTATCTAAAAATGAATTTAATTTTAGCCTTGCATTTTTATGACATTAACTATCGCACCAATGTACTATTTTGTATATGATATTAATACTATATGGAAAATAACATGCCATTGCAAAAATATATTGACAGCTAGGATCAACTGTAGTGTAAAACCAAGATAAGTCAATTCCACAAAAATCGATGCTATAGACGAGAAAGCGATAAGTTCTTTCTATATGTCATATTCACATGATTGCAAGTATTGAGAATTCTCATGGCAAAGTACAGTCAAAAATCGACAATTGATCATTCATAATAACAGTAGAATGTACTATGGATTTTTAGTCATGTAGATTGGCAGTTATTTTTCAGCTATTCTGTCGTAAAATTATACTATTATTCAGTTTGGGTAAGAAGCAAATACTGAAAAGTTGTTAGCGTACATTACGTAAATCATTAGTTATTATCTAGTTTATATCTACAGTCAAAGATCGGATTACAAATTAATCATGTCAAATCTTAGAAATTTGATGATCATCATGAAATATTAGATAGAAAAGCTTACTGCAGAACAGTAAAACGATATCATTCACATTGCCTTAATTAACGCGTACAGTATACATCAAGCAGTATATTGCGATGAGCACCATTGCTTCTGAGCTAATTGCATAAAGTACTGTATACGTACAGTCTCGTAGTCAATTAAAGGAAAATTGGATGGCTGTCATGAAATAATTAGACAGAAAACTTACTGCAGAATAACAGAATCATGTCAATAATATTGCATAGTATTATACCATGGTACTGTGTGCAACAATTGCAGCTATATCTCTCTTGTGGCAGTCGTTGCTTCTGAATCAATTTACAGCATTCTTTGCAGAAAAGTAAATATTATATGCGTCTACGCGTATAATTATTAAACGTTATCTAGCTCGAATCTCAAGATTAGATTATAAATTGATCCTATCGAATTCTTAAAACGTAAGGGAAAAATTAGATGATTGTCATGACATTCATCGAATAGAAAAGCTTACTGTAGAACAGCAGAACGATGCCAATAATATTGCTAAGCGTTAACTTATAACGCAGTGTGCAATAATTCCAACTTTCACTTGTCATATAATAATTACTGTCCGCGTATAATTGAGAATGGATGTGATGAGTATCATGATTTCTGAATGAGTCAATTGATAGCACATCTCGCATCAAAAGTACACCTAAAACACTCATTATTATCTAGCTCTCATCTACAATCAGAGATTAGATTACATATTGCTGATATCAAATCTTTAGAACTGCAAGAAAGAAATTGCTAATTGTCATTGAGGATAGAAACAGTCGATAGAAAAACCGACTACAAAACAACCGAGCGATCAATATCTAGCTTACTACTGTACTATACCATCATGACAATTATCTCTTATTACTTCCTAATCCGTATAGATAGACAGTAAGTAATATGTTGCGATGATTATCACTGTTTCCGAGTCAATTTATAGCATACCTTGTATAAAAGTATCCCAAACCGCCATTGAAATGCGCTCGTTGCATGTCTTTATTTCTTGCTAAACTGTGATCAGAAGCAGGCACAGTACTGTACTATAGAAGGCACAATGTGCAAAATTAGCTGTCATCTCATTATAGTCTCTTGGTGATAATAATACGTCTATCTGTCTAGCTAGTAGTGATGACAAAACACGGTCAAAAGGGTGACGATTATTTTACACATTGCCATTGTATTCTAATTTCAGGCAGAGTAGAAAGCCTTTTCCTTAAAGGACTTTTAATAGTCCTTATTGTAGAGAAAAGTAGTACAAATAACAACAAATGATGATAGCATTCCCCTTTCAAGTTGCTTGCAAATGAAAAATGGATAGTCATAGTCATTTTCAGTCTATTTCAGTGGCAGTATAACGTACCATACCATATTATGTTATACTATTGGTGCACTACATGTTGGCCGTATGTTTGCTACTATATACTACGGTAGAGTGTTGGTGTAGCCGCTACCTGCGATCATTGCACCACTACTCACATCCAATGGGAAGGTTCAAATTTGGCCAAAAGCAATTATTTCCACCTCAAATGCAATTTATTTATTCCATACTATGAATTGCTAGCAATGTTATAGTTGCAATTATGAGTGATACAAGAGCTTTTACGGTTTTGCTAGTCTTTAATCTGCTGTGTTGTCATGATTTGAAGATAGATGTGTATTGACTGTAATAAATGATTGCTAAAAATGAATTTTCGTCAA